GATTAATAACGTTAAAGTTTTAGGTAACTTACGGGTTTAGGCTTTAATTCAGTGTAAATGAGGGGTGACATTAGAAGTGTTTTTTTTTTAGTTTTATTGAAAATGTAAGATTTTTATCAAAGGTTTTGATTAAAAATAATATATTTGTATTCTACTTTCCACATGAAACTCATTGATCAGGAAAATGTCTCCATGCATAGTGACAAACAGGTTTTGAGGAGAGTGGTGTGGTGGTGTTTATAGATCAGTGTTGTGGGAGAAAATAAAATCTATGTTTTTATTTTTGTCTGGTCGTCTAAAATATTTAGTATTATGTGCAATTTTAAAGGCACACTATTGGCCCTCTAGCGGTTAAAAAAACCGCATGCATTTTGCGGAAGATTTTGTTGCATTTTGTTTTGGTTGTGCTTCGGCTCTGCGTGACTGTGCGTATGAATATGGTTCGTTATCATCATAGCTATAAAAAATAGGAAGAAGAATTGATGATGTATTGACTCACCATTTAAATTTAGTTAATTTTGAACAAAAAAAAAAGTTCTAATCTAATTTCATACCTCAAAACAAATAAAACTTCTCGTATATATGAATCCTTTGGGGTGCCTTAGGCCTATAGCGTAAATATCATAATTTTGAACCTTAACTGTCCTGAACATTAAATATATATTCAATACATTATATAAAAAAAAAAAATTAATGACCAAAAAGATAATTTATTATGACCAAAAAGTACATTTACATGGATTTGTTTAATCAGCTTTTATCTAAAGCAACATATAAATGACAGTCAAAATAATATTTAGCTGTGTTCAACTTTTTTTGAATATTTATTCAATACATGATTATTTATTATGTATATATTATATTTATTTCTATTTTTACAAATGCAAAAGTGTAAAATAAATGTTGTATTGTTACTGTATTTTGGCATTACACTGGCCAACCCTACTCTCTAGCTATTGATATTTAATTATAATATTTATTTCATGCTTAATATGTTGGGGGAAAAAACATATTTTTTGTGAGTTTTAATCTTACCTGTTTATGGAAATGGTCAAATATTCTAGAAGACAGAGATCTTCGGGTTCATTCTCCATCCAGCAGAGGACGCTCCAGTTTCTGTCATCGTTCTCGACCTGTAAAAATGATTCACAGTATAACTTTAATACAGAACTGATTAACTTTAAGTAAACAGTGTAACTATTGTCTCACTCTCAAGTACCTTAATATCAGCAACATTAAACTGTGCTTCAAAGAGATTTAACCTTATTTAGATCCCATTGATTTCTAAACAGTCTCTGTTGCTTTATGAGTGCATTAGCCCAGAGCATTAAATAAACTCCAATCACTCAGACTGCTCTTTCTACATTTAGCTGTTAGGAAAATTAGAGGATAGTTTGAACCAGAGTACATTATTGATCTCCATTCTTTGTAGAGATGCTAATAATAGCTTCTTTATGCACTGCCGTTGGTCTGTGTTTACACTACATCCTATTTAGCCCCCATTAACATCAATGTGGATGCTTTTAGACTGTCTATATGGGGTTTTCATCCTTCATCTAACATATCAGATTGTCCAAACAGTCATTAGTCTTTGCGAGAGCTGTCATACTGGGCCTGTGTGTTTAGGTAGATGTCGTGCTGTAAGGACTGTTATCTCTCTGTGAAGGGAAGGTTTGTTCGGTGTCATCATGAATCATTACTTACTCGAGTGATTCAATATGGCAGTCTCACTTTTTCTCACACCTATATACATTCTCTATATCAATGCATTTTATTTATTTATTAATTTTTAAATCTGCGGCCACTTTTAAAACTACACTGTTAAACTATTTCTGTCAGGTATCCTAAAATGTGCTTCATGGAAGCATATACATTGTTTTTTTTTAAGTCAGAAATATTATGTAATAAGACTGAATAAATCTGACTACATTATTTTATTTTGTTATTTTATTATGCTATTATTATTATTTTTTATTAATGTTTTTTATTTTATTTTATTATTTTATTTGCACTTTGCCAGGACTTTCTATTTATAACCATTGAATTTGTAAGTTAATTTTTTTTTTACTTTATCAGTAGCCTACACTAATATAAAAATGTAATTCTTCACTTTGAATTGTTTGTGTTTTATTTTATTTTAATATTGTGTTTTTAATTTGTATGCACTTTTGCCAGGACATTATAATTGGTATAAACCATAAACTACATTGTTTGTAAGTTTTTTTTTTTTTTTGCATCATACAAATTACATTTTTGTATAATATGTCATTCAGCTGCACACACTGAATTGTTTTATGTTTCATGATTTTTTTTATTAAAGATCTTGAACTTGGACAATATATTGGCAACATAATAGTATTACAAAATGTAATAAGCCTTGCAATGTAGCATCCATAAAATTTAAAAAAAGATATTAAAAAAAGTTTTTTTAGGGGAGTTGCAGGAAAGTCTGTCTTTGTAATGTTTTGCATTACCTAACGGTACTTCTCCAAGTAAAGTG